TTTCAACCCCACTGTTTCTTAGCTCCTCTTAATTCTCTTTCCCAGGCTGCCAGTCATCCTGTTGCATTTGGCTGTCCTCCCCCTGGGGTGGGGGTTGAATTGGGGTGGAGGTGTAGAGGTTATGCATTCTTCAAGGAGGAGGATGAGGCAAGTGAGCCTTTCTGGTCTGGCCTGGGGCTGAAACATTAACAGGACAAGTTGTTATAAGGGTACTCTGGGTTTGTTTTAATCAGAAGTGCTAAGATACACACAGAAATGATCGTCATGAAGGAATAAGTTTACTCACAGCGCCCTAGAAACAGGAGTGTAACGCACTACGCAGGGCCACTCATAGAAGCACCAGGGTCAGCCAGGAGGCTGGGGAGAGGGGAAAACATGGGAAGAACCTTTACTGTGGTTTCAGTGGGAGGGGACAGGTGAGGCAGGTACGCAGGCTTAGGATTGGCTGGTTTGAATAACTTCAGAGGGCTCTGGGGCATAGGGGCTGTCCCTCCTTGTCTGGCACCTCGTCATGGGGTGATTCAGGGAGAGGAATAGAGGCCCAGAGTGTGAGAGCCCCATAAAGGAGGTAGTTGGGGTGTGGGCTCTGGATTGGTTGGTTTGCATATGAAAGGCATGATCCAAGGTGACAGATTTATTCTCTTTAGGAATTGGCAGCCCTGGGAAGGGCAGTCTGTCCAGGGTAGCGAGACCCCAGATATCAAAGCATCAGAATACAGAAAATAAAAGGGCATGCTTCAGACAAGAGAACACTTTAAATGAATATTTCTACTGCTTAGATTGATGGCCTCTCAACACAGCCTCCATGCATATGTTAAAGAGCCTGTGTCCTTTTGAGAAGTCCGCTTTTAATGATCCTATCTTAGGATGGGTTGGAGGCATGGAAGAAGCTTGGGTAAGTACTGAGGGGGAGGCAGGAGGAGATAACAACAAATAGTGGCCTAAGAAGCTGTGGAAAGTCTGAAAAGGACTTCTTTAGGACATGATTTGGTTATTAAGTGATGTAATAACTTCTTTCCTACCAATTTCAGATAGCTGAGAAGCCACTTTTTCTAACTGCCCAGATTTAAAAGAGCATTTTAGTATGAGTTCTTTACTTGGATGCAGTACTCAGTGGATACAGCAGTAACTGTCTGTATTTTTCTTACTAGAGGTCTTTCTCCTGCTCCCCTTAAGGTCCCATAGAAGAAATGTGGGTCACTGGTGGGACCATGGAGAGAAACCAGCTTCCTGATGAAGATTTTAAAATATTGTCACGAATATACAAGCATTTAAAGTGAGCAGAGCTACTGAACAGAGAGGCTGCCTTAAGTTACACTGAAACAGGTAGGCACTAAGGAAGCGTCTCATTTTTGGTGCAGCCATATCACCCTTTTACACCTGAGTGAGACTTGCCAGAATTGGTCACCTTGAGGCTCTTGAACAGTGGTTCTCATGGCTGGCTGCTGGGGGGATTCTAGAATGTTGGTGCCCATGCCCAAGCCCCACTCACCAACTAACTAAATCAGAATCTTTGGAGCTGGGGCCCCAGCTTTAGGAGTGTTTAAAAAGCTCCCAGGTGATTCTAATATGTGGCCAAGGTTGAGAATGATGACCTGATACCTCAGGCCAGCAGCACTGGCTTCCCCTAGACACTTTGTCAGACATGCAGGATGTCAAACCCAGCCTAGACCCACAGACCCAGAATTGGCATTTTAACAAGATTCCCAAGTGATTCCTGTGAGAAGTGCTGGTAGCTTCAGGGACCATCCCTGGAGGAGTCAGGACTCAGCCTTAGCTCTAGGGCCTTTACGGCTCTGCATTGAACAAACCAAACCCTGCCCCATCTCTTTCTGCCTCTTACCCAATGTCCTGTCAGTCGAGTTAAAATGCACATCATGGGCACCCTCAATGATGCAAATAATCAATCCAAGGCACACAGAGAGCGCGCCAGGCCCACGTACTTGGCATTGGCCGCCATGATTCACCCGTAAGATGAACACATGCTTGTGAACCCCTGTTTTTAACTGAGGTTTGATTGGCCATTTTCTGGTTGGAGCCCCAGGCACCAGAGCCACCTCCCCCTGGACTTCCCCTCTCTCGGTTTTCTTGAGAAACCTGGTTGCAGAAGTAGAAGTGGTGCGAACCAAAAGTGGTGGTGGGGGGTTAAGGGAAAATGCATGACTTTGGAGGCAGACAGACCTGGGTCCAAATTCCAGCTTCTCTGTGTGACTTTGGATAATCACAGGTCCCACTGAACTTCCTGTTACACACCAGGACTCTGGGAATAACACTGTCCCCCTAAAGGGTATCAAAGAAAAACTAATTCTGAGACAAAAACGAACAAAGGATGTTTTTCATAAACTTGTAGCAAGGGCACCCATCTGCTGTCCTTTCGTTTTAGCTGGGGTTCAAGAGTATTAGAAAGGAAAGTGAGTTTTACAGGGTAAAAAGAGGAAACACTGAGACAGAGTCTGATGGGCAAGTGTTCTATTAGGGTGGGACTTTTGAAAACGGGAGACTTTCTAGTTGGCCTATGCTTGACTGTCTCGGTTGGTTGCAAGGGGACAAACCAGCAGGTAGGAGACATTTCAAGAGGAGGGGCTGTTCAGTGTTGAGGTGGAGGGTTTCCTGTGGCTGGCCATTTCCTGGAACATGTTGGGGTTGATGGGGTGCTTTTTTAGGGTAATGATCGTGAGAAGCTGACTGTTGTGGGAGTTTTGTTCTCACAGAGTCACAGGGAGGAAATGATTTGCATCTTGTGTCTGGACATTGTAGGTAAACAATACCAAAATTCATCTTCCCACGGCTCCATCTCCTAAGGACAGTTTGGATCCAATTCTTTGTTTCACATTCGCAAATCTGCCCACATTTTTCTTACTGAGAGCACAGACTTTTACCTTTGGTGTTCAAGGTCAGATGTTTGATCTTGGGGTTCTATTCTCTGCCCATGATTGGAAAAATGATGTTAAAATTTTTTTTTAAAATAAACATATTTCTCTTCAAATGGAAACAAAGAAGTATGAAGTGAAACTCAAGCAGTGGCGGCAAAGCAGCCCTTTTTTTAAAATCCGAGGCATTAAATCACCATCCTTTTGGATGACCTGTGTTAAATTACATGTCATCCAAGTCATATAAATTATCCCCGAAAATGGATGAGCCACTTCTGCCTTTCAAACTACTAGTAGTATCCTTGCTGTTATGAAAGCAGTGAATTGCCTTTTGATGGAAATTGTGTGGTACCGCCTGTCTTCAAGTTCTCCACTTAATTGGCATTGCTGGCTAAGAACTGGAAGAGAGTTTAAGGACTTCACAGATAAGAAATGCTCTAAAATAGGCCCTTGGAGCATGTGGAACACCACATACTTGCGTGTTTCCCAGACCTCTTTTCTTTCTGTGGCTTCCAGGAAAACCAGCCTTTTATAGAGTGACATTTGCCTTGCTAATCCCAACTTTAAAGACAAAACAATCTTCTGAGTCTATTCGTTTATGGATACTGATGTTGACACAGAGGAAATCTCCCCAAGCGACTTCATAACTTCCCTTCCCATTCCAGTCTCCTTCCGCCCCCACCCCACCATCATTTACCGGCACCCCTTCCCCTGACGACCACCACCAAGCTGGATGCTGGTGTAAGGTTAGGGATTGGATGGGAGGGAAGGGGTTTCTGAAAGTGGGAAGAAGGAATACCCAACCTCCCAACTAATGAGGACTTTTGAAAAACTCCAGTTTGCCTGGGGCAAGAATAAGCGACTTAGGTTTGCATCTTTTGAGAGGACAAAATGGATCAGTAGAAGAATGCTTGTATAGATCAAGGGCAGGGAAAGCCCTTGATTCATGTACAAAAGTATGAACCCAACCTGGGAAAAAGACCACCCTCAAGTGAGTAATTATCCTCAATATGCAAACAGATTTGTCCGTGAGCAATCTTGGTGCTGGATCATATTCAGAGACACATAGTATAGCCATCACAACGTCACGATGGCTAGTTCAAACCTTTCCTCAGTCTCTGGAGGAAGTATATCCTTAATGCAGCAAATTATATAAAAATTCTCTCACCTCCCACCAGCTCTGTGGTCACTGCCCGATTTCACTGTCATAAAACAAACTTGTTGGGGAAAATCGGAATAAGACTCTTCAAGATGAATGCTGGCTCTGTCTATTTCTCTGTTCATAGTTTCATTGGCATCAACAATCTAATGCTCTTTTGATACAGTTGCCACAGAATATATTCAACCTTTTTTCATGTTACCCAGGGGCTAAGTTACTGAAAAGCTGGTGGGTTGGAAACCTCACTAATTTCTTTCTATATTACCATTTTCTTCTTAAGAACTGACAATAGTTAAAATTCGTAATCCATAACTGATTGTTCCTTTCAGACATAGTGTTGTTCTCAATGGTTCAAAACATTTAAAAGGTGATTCCAACCCATTTGTCATTGTTTCTTCCTGTCACTATTATGATTTCTCAGCTAGACAAAGCAATTAAAAGCCAGAATGGTTTACAAGCACGCACACACAAATTCTCTCTGGCCCTTGTCGCCTCCCCGCCTCCCCTCCCTCTCCCCCTCCCTTTCTCCATCTACTGCCCCCTCCCCCTCTTCCTCTCCATCTCTCCCCTTCTCCCTCTCCCCCTCCCCCTCTCCCTGCCCTCCCCCCTCTCCCTCCCCCCTCCCTCTCTTCCTCTCTCTCAGCCACTCTCAATTAATTCTACACAGAGGGCAGATAATCCCTGAAACTCTCTTTTTCATTCTCTCAACTCTTAAGCCAAAACTTCCTAAAACCTGCAAGACTCTTCTTTCCTCTGTCCACATTACCCATCACTTTTAGATCTGTTTTTATTTTTTCTTCTATTTAAAATGTTTTCTTCCATTTTCTTTTTCAATGTGAATCTTCTACACATATTCTTCCCCTACTCATGACCTTAACATGTACAATAAAGTGTGGAAGGGAGGTGGAGAGAGAGAGAAAATCTCATGCCAGCAACATCAGACTATCATGTAATTGAGGGGGAGAGGAGGGTGGGAGGAAAAAGGCTGTGAATTTTCAGACATTGATAATTTTCGTCCCTGTCTCATCATGTTGAGAAGAGGAAGATGTATGAGTCAGTCTCAGAAGAGCTGTGGGGTCCAAACGGATGAAAAGAGAGGAGGAAGAGCCAAAGGGTAAGAGCTAAGACAAGCTGCCTCTTTCTGCTGGTTGACTCCTGGGGGAAGAGTGAGGTGCTTCTCAAGGCAGGATTGGAGATGCTGTCTGGGTGGCTGGGTGGTTGTGAAGAGGGTAGTTCCTCCTAAACAAGGATGCACTCAAGCATTAGGAAACAGGGTCATTGCTTTCCTGGTGACTAAGTGCTCTTAGAGAAATCAGTCTGGCCTTGACAGAAGTAAGAGGGAAGGAGGGAGTGGCAGAGCAGCCTGAAGTTTGGGGCTGTGGGAAATACTGCATAACCTGGGCTAAAGCTGAAAGGACTTGGAGGAGGCATTGAACCACATCATGCTAACTGAGAAAGGAGGCACGATGCGCCCATAACTTACTTTTCCTATAACTGGTTTGTGATCTGAGATGCTTCTTACTTCCCCAGTTTTTTGAAGGGCCACATGTAGCAGTTGTTCCCAGGGCAGTGTCCCCACTCCTTCTCATGGGGGCTCAGATAGGACCCTGGGGCTCTAAAAAGTGAGTAGGCTGAGGAGAGGTCACATGTTATTTTAGTTTGAGTCTGCAGCCATGCTTGAGAATACTTATTTCCCTTCTTTCCCTTCCTTCCCTTCTTCCCTCCATCCCTCCCTTCCTCCCTTCCTCCCTCCCTTCCCTCCTTCCTTCCTTCCTTCCTCAGCCATTACTTGAGTGTCTGTGATGTGCCAGGCACTGTAGTGGTCTAATGCCATGTACCAGATGGGAAAAATGAGCCTCAAAGACTCCTGGCAACTGACCAGTTAGGCACGAGCAGAGCAAGGACTAGATCCCAGATCCCCAAATCCTGGGTCAGGACCCTCACAATCACATCCCAAGGCCTGCCTTAATAAAGCCACATTGTAAACTTTTAGTCATTTGCATCTTTTCTGTCCTCTGTGAGCACAAAAGTTCCCAGCCTGGAGTGGCGTCTTATCCTTGCTAGCTCAGTAACTTTCCATTCCTAAACCCACTGGACCTTCCCACGATGGGAACTATTGAAAATCTCTTCTTTAATTAAAAAGGTTTCCCTAGAATGAGCATAGCTCTGTGGACATTTTTCATAACATTGGTCACTGGACAAGTTCAAGAAGTGCATCTATGGTCTCCTGCAGGTTATTACGTACAATTTCTGTTTCCATATACCACCCGAGTCAGGGCTGTGCTCTGGACCGTCCGTGCATGTTAGCAGCTGCACATTCTGAGCTGGGCAATATTCCAGTTGTTGGAAGCAATGGTGGAGTGCACCCGGAGGGTAATGGAATTCCTTGATAGAGAGTCAAGAAGTATGTAGTTCACCCAAATGGTAGGAAAAGTACAGTAATTATTTCACTTTTGGGTGTCCCCAGGCCCTTTCTGTTCCGGGGTGTCTGGGAAGCTGTTGAGTTGCAGGAATGCCTTTTCGTTCTTCAGAAAACATGTCCATGACATCTTTGAGCCTTTTGGTAATACATTATTATAAAGGATTTATATTTTATTCTTCTTTTGGAAGGAAAAACAAACAAAACAAGACCAGGACAAAAAAAAAAGTTTCTCTTTTATAGGAAACAGGGAAAAAATATTGTTTTGGATTTAAATGCGACTCACATGAAAAAAAAAATCATCGGACATGAGTCTGAATTATGCCCAACCTGACCTTACGGAATGAAGCACTGGCAGGATGAGAGGCGGGGAGAGGCTGTATTCCTCTCCCAGGCCAGTGGGACAGTGTGTGACTTTGGGACTGTGAATGAAGAACCTCAAGCCTTGCTTCCTCCCTGACTCAAAGATGTGACACCTTGAGGCTCAGGAGCGTGCTAGACTCCCATAACATTTGTGCCCCCCACATGCAGGGCATCAGGCAGAGCGGGGCAACGTCATGGGATAAAGTCCCGAGGAGCAGCGGCCTGCAGGAAGGGCATCTGTGGTCCAGGAGACTTTCTGTCTGGTGTGAGTCATTCCCCAACAGTACCAGGCAACTGAGGGAAACCGCCATTCATTCATTCATTCACTCATTCCCTGGCCAACAAATACTTTTTATGACTTCAATGTTCCAGGTAGGGTATGCAAGTTTGGATAAAGTCCCCAACTTAATTAGCCAAGGTCATACTTTTCTTTTCTCCAGAAGAGAGGCAGTCATGCAGGTGGGAACAGAAGCGCACTCCTCAGCAGAGCATCTCCTGGACCCAAAGTCCATCCCGGGACACTCTGCTTGCAAGGACATGGTCTGCCCAAGTCTAGACTGATCTGAAAACCTCTCTTCTTGCCACATGTCTACCCTTTTAGCTTCATTGTGAGGAACTCATAGTAGCAATCTATTTGCTTTCATTTCAGGGACTATTACAAATATTCTTCCTCCTGGTTCTTGTGTAAACTTGGTGTCAGCAAGGCTCCTTCCTCCTCTGGGAGGAGAAAGCAGAGTCAGTGCCCAGAAGCCACAACCAAAGAGTACCTCTGCTGTAGGACCCTACAGGGAGTCAGGACTTGGCTTCTCTGGGGACTCCCGATGACCAGTGCTCAGAGGCTCCACCTTGGAGTAGCTTGCAGTCAAAAAGAAAACCAAGAGAACGTGCACATACCCAGAATGCTCAGGGGCCAGGGCGAAGTGATTAAGAGGGGAGATCTCATTCACAGTGGAGCCTGTACTCTGAGCCACACTGCCAGCCTTCAATCTCACTCTGTCACTCACTAGCATATGAACTTGGGCAAGTCACTTAAGCAGTCTGTGACTCAGTTTCCTCATTTGTGAGATGGGCTTAATAACAGCACCTACCTCATAGAACAGTCTGAGGACTAAATGTGAATATGTGCAAAGTGTGTGGAACAGTGCCTCGTGCATTGTAAAAGTTCCTTTTGGTATTATTATCCGTCTGTTTGTTATACAATGCTACAGAACCTGTACTGATTTCCCAAAACAATAGTGTATGAAATTTTCTTTTCTCTCTCTTTTGTAAAGAGCGTGTTATCTGGATGGCAGTGCAGTGATCCTTTAGAAATGGCATTCCACGAGCTTCGAGTCAGTATCTGCACACAAGGGCCAAACTTCCCTGTGCTACTCACATCCTCCTTGCAGGTGGCCCCTGCACCCACGCAGCCGAACAGGTGGGTCTCCCACGCTCATGCCATGCTGCCCAGGGACTCAAGAAGCACCATCCCCAGGTCCTCTGGACCCCGCAGTAACTCTGTCTTCAGTTTTGTGCTCCCTTTCCTGGATTATTTTGAAATATGTCTTTCACATCACCTGGATTTCTAATGAGAAGAAAGGGGCTAATTAAGCCAGAGTCGTTATCGAAGCTTGGTGCCTTGCTCTGTGGATGGCCTCTTGACTTCCCTCTCCACCCCGGTCTCTGAGTCTCTCCTTTGCACACCTATGGCCATGGCTGGCTAGTGTGCCATTTCCAGTCTTGCTAGGAACTCTTCTCAGAGAATCTGAGTTTTTCTTCCCAAGTTGTGAGCAGATACTCCACCATCTTTTCACAGGGTACATTTCCAGTATTTAAATCAGGTGACTTTGATATACACATTTACTAATCTTAGGGAGCTTCCAGTCATGTGTGTGTTAGAGAGGATGGGAAAGGAGGTAAGATGGCCAGTTGTTAAAATATTGGTAGCTTGAAATCAGACATGGTGGGAGTATTTACATCATGAAACGTGGTAAATACAGAGTTCTCCCTACCTCATTTTCTGGCATTTCTGTCATAAATTACAAATAAGAGAGAGCTTGGAGATGGAAGCAAGCCAGAGGTGTGCTCTCTCGTCTTCTTGAAAGATTGGTTCACTTCCATAGGACCCAAGCTCTTCCACTTCCTAAAACAACAACAAAAAGCCATGTAGATAGCGAGATTTAAATGAAACCAAACTGAATTTTTCTGAGACAAATACTTATCTTTGTTGCCTTAACAACCAAGCTTCCCAGGAAACTCCAGCCAGATAAATGAGAACGGAGGAGTAGAGTCTCCCAGGACCCATGAAGGAGGAGAGATTCATTAAAGAACCCAGTGGGGGGTAGCTGAATGCCACTATAATTAAGCATATCTACCAAGAAACAATTATTGGCACATCGTTGGTGATAATGCCTCCCAGAAGGCCTGGGGCCGCCCGAAGGACTCCTGCTCCCAAGCCCGAGACCCCTGTTTCTCTCTTTCTCTGGCCAGCAGTGTGTAAGAGTCTTTCCCTTCCCCTTTTACGATGTCTCTTGGAGAGAACGACCCAGGAGCTGCCTCATTTAGCAGTTAGCTTCTCACTGATCCATATATCACTCTGCAGGCAGCAGACATGATGCAGAAGAGCCAAGTGGATGTCAGCTCCAGTGCTGGAGGCCTGGCGAATGGAGTGGAGTGTTAGTTTTGATGCAAAGCAGCTGCTTTGGCTCATGCTGTGCCAAGCTGTACACCCAAGCAGTAGCCGCTGGCCAAGTCGGCCACTGAAGAGGCCCAGACCCGTGGATTCAGCCCAGGAAAGCCTGACCTTGGCTACACATTAGAATCAGCTGGGACAGTTTTAAAAATCCTGATGCCTAAGATGCAGTTTAGAGCAATTGCATCACAATCTCTGGAGGCAGCACCCAGGCGTCAGGTTCTGAAGCCTCCCTGAGGTTGAGAACAACTGCACTAAAGAGTGAGGGCAAATATCCAGCACAGAGCCAGCTCCTGGTTCTCAGTCTGGGGTGGTACAGCGGCCCTGGGGGATGCTGGGAAATATGAGAGGGTGCTTTTGGTTTACAGCACTGGGGTTGCTGCTGGCATTTAGGCAGTGTGGGACATAAAAATCTCCTGCACTTTGTGGAACACTTCTTCACAATGATAAATGACAAATCTGTGTGTGTGTGTCGAATGTGAAAGATACTGAGTACACGCAGTCCCATCCTTTGTGTGTGGGGGTAGCCTGGTCAGCTTCGCTCTGAGTGCCAGTAACTCAGAAGCAAGACATAGAGGTTTTCCCTGGAAAATCAATAACCTGTTTGCAGAGGCCTCTCCATAGTGATTTGTCTAGAGTGAGAACACTGGCTTTGTGTGTTTTTTTAAAGCAAATGGCAAAAATCCCTTACTAACCACAACCTGAAGGACCCACAACTAAAATATATAATTATGTACTAGTGGGATTTGGGGAGAAAAAGAAGAAAAAAGATTGGCAACAGTTGTTAGCTCAGGTGCCAATCTTTAAAAAGAAAAAAATTCCTTACTGTTTTCTCCCAGAATCTTCTTGAATTTTAATGCAGATTGTTGCTGTGGGGGGTGGTGAAGTGATGGAGGAAGAGGTATTTGTGGAAATGGCACAACCCGGGATTGACTAAGAAAGCAACAACTTGCTACCTTCTTAATGAGGCAGATTCCGCATGGTCTACTTGGTGCCTGAAACAAAAACAGGTGACATGAACTGGCCATCAGCATGGCGATTATGAGGTACCTATGTAGTCAGGTTTGAACCATAAAGGTGTTTTGTCCAAACTTCATCTATCCCCTGCCCTGCCTGCGTAGATCTGCTGGTGTTTCTGCCGTGTTTCCAGCATCTCTCTTACTGTACACCCTCACCTTGCATATCATGGCAGACATATCACAGCATAAGACTTGCTGCAGGTCTTCACCACAGCTGGCACCCTGGAGGAGCGAAAGGATGGAGCATTGAGGCGGACCAAGAACTGAAGGTTCTCACTGGGCATGTTTCCAAGCTCTGCCTCCTGGGCTGTGGTCGTAGAGTCCTAGAAATTCAGAGTTCTCTTCAGGAGAAGAACTTGACCTTGCTTAAATCACTGTCAGCTGGGTTTTCAAAAGTATGAGCCACTCTGCCTGGGGTCATAGAATGCAAAGGTCACTAGGTGTGGGAGTCAGGTGACATGAGAGCAAAGGACCACACTAAGGGTTCTTAGTCTCAGCTGTGTTAGAATCAGCTGAGGAAGCTTTTTAAAAAAATGCCAGTGCTGGGTTCCCACCCTTGACCATTTGAATCAGAATTTCTGCCAGGGTCCAAGTATTTCTAAGCTCTCTGGATATGATCACTCTAGGGTGATCCCTAATCAGTAGAGTTGGTTCACCTGACCTAGAGCTGGTTGAGTAAACCAACTAGCTCTGTTGGTTCTGCTGAAATATGAAGGGGGGTGTGATGCTCGACCCAGGTCAGAAGATGGTCTCTGGAAGAGGGAAAGGGGGAAAACAAGGTCGACACTAAGCCGAAGAGGAGTGAACAACCACAGAGAGTCTGTGCTCCAGAGGCGACAGGCTGCACACGGGAGAGTGGAGTGATGTTGTTCTTCCTTCAGCCATTCGTTCATTTATTTAAGAATTTTTGGTGAGCAGGTATTATGAGCAGCCCAGGAGTGGTGGGCTGCCAAGATACGTTCCCCTGTTCCATCTAGTACAATCTTGGGAGGAGAGTCTTGTATTTGAAAAAGAAACAAACAAAAAACCTCATATCACCAAGGAGAGTGACAGCCGACGAGTTTACTTTCAGAGGACCCAAGCTCAAGTCTAGATGGGAAGCAGGCGTTTTGGAACTTCGTGGAGGAGCCAGTGATATAAGGACTTTCTCATGACCATTACAGCCTGATCTAAACCATTCTAGTCATATTCCAAGCCTAATGTTCTTCTTAGGGCAGATGCCAAAGAAGTATGAGGTGGGGGAGGGCTTGCATCTTCCCCACGGCCTGACTTCAGGGAAAAAAGGAAGTGAGGCTCAGACCAAATCCTGCCCTGTGTACAGTTACTTATAAAGCGAACATGTACTAGCTAGCACTCACTGAACAGTTAACCTCTTGTTCTGTAAAGTCAACAAGTCCTGGACCTTTCAGAAAACCAGAATCCTCCTGAATAAGTCCATTCAGCTGCTATAACAAAATACCACAGACTGCGTGGCTTATAAACAACAGAAATTTATTTCTCACAGTTCTGGAGCCTGGACATCGAAGATCAGGGTGCCCACATGGTTGGGTTCTAGTGAAGGCCCTCTGCCAGGTTGCAGATGCTGTGTCCTCATGTGGCGGAAGGAGCGAGGGAGCTCTCTGGGCCTCTTTTATAAGAGCACTTGTCCTATTTTTGAGGGCATCACCTTCAGGACTTAAGCATCTCCCAAAGGCCCCACCTCCTAATACCATCACGCTGGGCATTAGGATTTCAACGCATGAATTTTAGGGGGACACAAACCTTCAGTCCTAATCAGTGGCTGGACACAGGACCATTTAGGGATCAGGACTCAGGCACCATTCTTATGGGTGCAGAGGACAGCATAACTAGACTCTTACATCCTATCTAAGCAAGAAAGGGATGTGTCTCTAAAGCGTTTTAGCCAATCCATACATATTAAATATGTTTAATTTTTACCAATGAAAGCCCATTTATTATGCTAATTAACAGGTCTATTTTCATAATAAAAGCCCATTTCTGACATTCACTTTGCTAATTAACAGAGCCTCAGGTATCGATTGCTATTTGCATTGCTGAGGAACGCTCAGCAGTCTCCTCTGGAGTGGGCATTTCTGATCTATTGCTAGCTGGCCACCCTGGGAACACGGGTCCTCTCTCAGGGCAGTTGACTGCTCTCAGAGTCGAAGCTTAAGCTAGTTAGCAATTCTGTAATGTTACATTATTTATTCTGGGAAGTATTTTACAATGACACCATGATGGATACTGGTGCCCTTTGTTGAATATTTTACTACTGAGTTGTGTGTTTAGTACTGGTCTCCACCTCTATCCCCACATTTCTGGAAACTACTCCCCCACCATCCTTATAATGATTAATATGGTATTGCCTTCTCTGGACACGGCTGATTGGTCCAGGGACGGACATGACCCAAGCATGGCCAATTAGTCTCTCTTCCAATGGAACTGGGAATTGAGACACAGAAGGAGAGGCGGTTACTTTTTGTCTAGTTGGGCCCATTCAATGGAAGCCTGGGAACTGAAGTGTGTTTTCTGCCTTGTGTGTGTCATGAAAGAGTAGAAGCAGCCAGTCTGGAGAGAGCGGGAAGAACAAAACACAGAAAAAGCTGAAAGAGACATGAAGAGAGAAGGACTCCAGGCTTCCCAACAGCCTTTGATTCCTCGTTTTGGTGGCCATGGAAACATGCTCCTCAGCTCTCCCTGTGTAAGGAGCAAAATTGGCTGGTGGCTCCAGCTGTTGTCCCTCTGGATCTACCACCATGTTACCTCCAAAGCCTCCCCAGCAACGACCATGCACAGCAGGACTGAAATGCAGGCCCATTCCTGCAAGACACGGTACTCCTCAACCTGGAGACTGAGTCAAAGACGGCCCCTGCCCAAGACATTCTCAGAGCTGCACTGCAGTCCAAGGCTCTTCCTGCCCAGCCCTGCCTCCTTCCCCCTCTCCTCCTCATGTGTCAGATGTGGATCACGGCCCGAAGCCCCTTCTTGTCTTCTCCAGCTCCCTCTCCTACTCCTCTTATGGGCATTTCCTCCATTAAATTCTTGTACAACCAATCCGACGTTGGTACCCGCTTCTCAGAGGACCTGAACTAACACACTGGTTCTAGTTTTTCCTTGAGGCCTGATTATATTCTTCCTCTTGGATTTTATGAGCCAGCTGTGTAGTTTAATACAAAATTCCCACTTTTAATGCTTAGCCCATGTGATAGTTAATTTTATGAGTCAACTTGACTGGCCATGGGGTCCCCAGATAAAACATTGTTTCTTGGCATGTCTCTGAGGGTGTTTCCAGATGAGATCACATTTGAATCAGTGCCCTCAGAAGAGTAGATTGCCCTCCCTAATGTGGGTGGGCGTTATCCAGTCCCTTAAGGGCCGGAACAGAACAAAAGGTGGAAGAAGGAGGAGTTTGCCCCTTTTTCCTTGCCTCACTGCTGAGCTGGGACATCTCATTTCATCTTCTCCTGCCCTCGCACTGGGATTTGCCCCATTGGCTCCTCTATTCTCAGGCCTTTGGACTTGGACTGAATTACACCACCGGATTTCCTGGGCCTCCCATTGCAGACAGCAGATCTTAGGGTTTTGCAGCCTCCATAATCACGTGAGCCAATTCCTCATAATAAATTTTATATATATAAAACATATCTCCTATCGGTTCTCTGGAGAACCCTGACTAATATAACCAACATAGGGCTTTACTGTTGCCACTAAAGGAACAAATAGGGTTACCAGGTACCAAGCATTTTGCTAAGCTCCACAGATATATTTTCTCACTTAATTCTTAAGTTATTCTGAATTCTTAAACCCTGAGAGGTTTGTATTAATATCACCATTTTCCAGATGAGGAATAAGTTTTTGAGATGGAGTAGTTTGCCCCCAAGCACACAGTGGAAAGGTTAGGAGTTGAACCCAGAACTTCCAGACTCCAAAGCTCAGACTCTAAGCCACTCTATTCTGCTGGGTGCTACTCGCTGAGTTAGTTCAAAAGTCAAAGCTATCCAACTTGATATTTAAACTTTGCTTCCTAAACCAAACATCAAAAAAAGTCCTCTATCCCATAAATCTGTATTTCTGGGGATATTTTCTTGGACCCGGATAACTTTCCTTCCTGCCTCTTAATCAAAATTGAAATGTTCCCAAGTCCTTCACTCTCTGCCCTTGGAGCAAGTGTCATTTGGAGGCTGGAAGATAACTGGCTTCATTCCCATCATAAATAAGGAAAGGTAAAGCTTCAGATTTAACAGGTACCATCTCTTTGCTATCTCCTCAAATAGGCTTTATTTACATTGGTGTCAAAGTTAGAGGAGGCAGAACAAATGATACCTTGTGAGAGAACAGAGAGTACAAAATGCAAAACGAATTACAAAGAGACTTTTATGTGTTCAGCAATTCGTTGAGTCAAGAGGGATTTGGTGGCGCTCTCTAAAATTTTTTTAAATAGAGATAAAAAATAATAACCCAAGTAAATAGTTTGACAGATTACTGAGAAATGCTATATTCTTGAGCCACTGAAGCAAGATTTTCTCTCTCTTTAAACAGCTGAAATTGGGTGATAGAAAGTATGAAATCCCACCTGGGAACAAAGCACGGAATTAATACAACTATGAAAATGGAAAGCAGTCAAGCCAGACCTGTCCCTTTCTTGGGAGAATCGCCCCAGGACAAGTATAGGCTGCCTATCTGGAAGGTAATGTCTCTCCTCATGTCCTACTTGTTAGCACACAGCCAAGAACTAATGGACATGAGGGACAGAAGCCTGATCTCCTTGCCCCTAGGGGTGGGAGTTGAGGGGACACTGGCTCTGTGGTGCATTTTGTGTTCCAGAGCTCTCCGTAGGATCAGGCTGAAGCCAGACTCCTGCTGAGGTCACATATGTGCTTGGCTCTTTTCTCTGCCCCCTCCTGCTTGTCTCATTCCCCATCGGAATGCCCTCCCCCAATAAATCACATGTACGAGAATCCTTGTCCCAGGCTCTGCTTCTAGGGAACCTACTCTCAGACAGTGGCTCTAAACCTAGAAGGTTTATTTTGGAAGAACTAGAATTCAGGCTAGCATCCTGGATACTTTCTTGGACCCTTGGGAATGTTGGAGAAAAGATTGTGGGTGGTGAGAGATTTTAAAGGAAAAGGGGAGTGAAACAGGGTGAATGCTGAAAAGTAAGAGAAGGTGGTGAAGAAAAAATTCCTACTGATTAAAACTTTGTGGTGTAGCAGATCAGATTCCTAAGAACATGAATATGAATGTCACTTTTCCAATGAGTCCCCGAACTGGAATATGAGGTATTTTGAGGATTTTGTAACAAATGCTTTTCTTGGATTTGAAGTCCATCTTTCCCATGCTTCCTGATTTGGTCTTATTTTTAAACACGAGAAAGTTTTCCCTGACTTCCAGTCAGATTCAGTAGGGCTTTCAGTTACTCCGTGAAGATTTGTATTCCCCCGTTAGCACCTGGTGTTGGTTATTCTTCCACAACACAGAGTGCTGGCGCCACCATAGAGCATGGCGTCTAAATAATAAAGCAATTTGCCACAACAGTTAAAGGGGGTTCTAGGATTAGTCACTTCTTTTGTTTAGAACAGTCTGAGAGCTACCATTTAACAAGGATATGTCCTCAGCTCAGGGAGGCATGAGTGTTTTTTGTTTTTGTTTTTTTTGGTGAGGAAGATTCACTCTGAGCTAACATCCTTTGCCAATCTTCCTCTTGTTTTTTGCTTGAGGAAGATTGGCCCTGAGCTAACATCTGTGCCAGTCTTCCTCTATTTTGTATGTGGGTTGCTGCGACAGCATGGCTTGATGAATCGTGTAGGTCCATGCCCATGATCTGCACTTGTGAACTGGGCCACTGAAGCGGAGTGCACTGGACTTAACCAGTATGCTATGGAGCTGGCCCTGGCATGAGATCTTTTTTTAAGATTGGCATCTGAGGGGCCAGCCCGGTGGCACAGCAGTTAAGTGCACATGTTCCACTTTGGCAGCCCAGAGTTTGCTGGGTCAGATCCTGGGTGCGGACATGGCACCGCTTGTCAAGCCATGCTGTGGCAGGTGTCCCACATATAAAGTGGAGGAAGATGGGCACAGATGTTAGCTCAGGACCAGCCTTCCTCAGGAAAAAGAGGAGGATTGGTAGCAGATGTTAGCTCAGGGCTAATCATCCACAACGAAACAAAACAAAACAAAAAAGATTGGCACCTGAGTTAATATCCATTGCCAATCTTTTTATTTTTTCATTCTTCTCCCCAAAACACCCCACTACATAGTTGCATATTCTAGTTGGAGGTCCTTCTGGCTCTGCTGTGTGGGACATTGCCTCAGCATGGCCTAATGAGCTGTGCTAGGTCCGCGCCCAGGATCCAAACCAGTGAAATCCTAGGGCGCTGAAGTGGAGCACGTGAACTTAAGCACTTGGCCACGGGGCCGGCCCCAGGAGATCCTTTAGATAGCAGTAGAATGATTCAAAGTATGGGCTCTGTGGTCAGCTTCTCCTTATAGGGTTTGTGATGATTAAATGGGATGATACTTTTAGAGCACTTATGCCAAGGTTGGAGTGAAGTAAACACACAGCAAGTGTCACCCATCCTGATGACTGTTGCTGAGCCTCTCCAGCATTGATTCCATGGGCCCTCTCACACTGCCTCTTCTCTTTGCCCTTTCTGTCCAGTTGGTGGTGATTTAAGGGTCTCAAAGAACAGCCCCTGCTCCTGAGGATGATCCAAACCCTCCCTGTTCACTCCCAAACTCTTTGATCTTGGTTCATAGATGATTGACACCACATGACCTCATCTCAGGCTCTGGCCCCATCTATTTGGTGACACTGCCCTGCTTTTGGCAGCTTGTGCCTGGCTCCCCTTCAGCAATTCTTGCCCCTCAGCTTTTGATATTTACCATGATCTTGGGTGAGAAAAATTTCTTCCTCTTACGTTAATATAGCTAAGGAGTTATGTGGAACCTCATCAGCTATACTTGTCTTCCCACCCCCTGAGTAGGAAGGGAAGGCAACTGTCTCCTTCTGCTTTAGGCATGGAAAAGCAAGGACTTGGGAAGAAAAAGCACTACTCTAGTCCTCCTTACCCCCCCACCCCCCTTCAGCCTTGGATACAAAGACAGGAGCTGTATTACCAAGATATATGTGCATTAGAAACCTGTGCTTGTTGTTAACTTAGTTGGACTCAATTGCTATTTTTCAGCTCCATTTGATTGGAGAATCATATACTCTACTAGAAACACCTCAGTGTCTGGTCACGGCACAACATTTCCTATTCCTCTGAAGGCCAAGTTACATCACTGATGAAGACATGAGTAGAAAATTCATGGGAGACATATTTCTTGTGCTTTGTACTTTTCAGAAGTACAACCTGTCATGACAACATAGTCACTGCTTTGTGGCTTCGAGAGATTTGTGTTTGGGAAATGAGAGACCATGGTGGTGGTCTCTCTTTGGCCTTTATGCCTGGAATCTTGAACTACACAATCCCAATCTTTGAATTTCTCCAAATTTCCAATCTCAGGGTCCACACACAGCCTCCCTCTACTCCAGTTCACCGTCACCCCTCTTTGTGTGGGACACGGGGATCTCAGCCTAAGGCAGCTTTTCCTGAAAACTCAACTCTACCTGAGAGGGAGTTAGCCTTGAAGCCTAAGACAAATTGAAACTTGAAAGAAATCTAGTAGCTTATTTGCTTATGTGTTCTTTATGAAAAACAATCCAATAATGTTGGGGATGGTTTTGGTGGTTTTACCCTCTAGTCATTTTGCAGAATGACAAAGGGCTGGATTCTAGCCCAGGCTTCTCCATTTAGTAGCTGGACCGTGGACATAGTGCATCACCTAGTTAAGACTAGTTAAGAACGGGGTTATTAACTACCCAGTGGAGTCATTATGAGGATAAGCATGTCCAGGACATGGGAATCATTGAATAAATGGTAGATATTATCATTATAAACTGCAAAGATGAATCATAAATATCATAGCTGGAATGAGACCTTTATTGTTTAGAAAGTTAAGGTTTTCATGAAAGAAAACAAATGTACCAGATGCGGCATTACCTCTTCCATAAGGAAAAGGTATCGAGTGTGATATGAAATAAATATATAGGCACAAGAATAAAGACTACAGATTTAATGTTTAAGTAGGCTTTATTCATGTTTACTAAGGTTACAACAGATATAACTATATTGCTCATTCTTATTTCTTGGGAATCCAGAATTTACTTCTAAATATCCTTTTGAGACAGAGGATGAGAAAGGGGAGAAACATTGGGTTGAAAATGGGGAATAAAGCTTGTTTAACTCTATATATGTTTAATTCATGTTTCTGAATTATTAGGACAATAAATGCTGATTTCATTCATAACCAAGTGGGGCTATTTATGTTTGAATGAAAAGCACATACATTTGCTTACACAAAGCTCTATTGTGAACTAAAAAAATCAGTTTTTATTGTTCAAACAATTGTGCATTAACCAACAGCTCAAAACGAGTGTTCTAACTGTGAGTATCAACTGGCAATTTTAACGCGTTAGATTTTGTCGTGTCATATCATAGGATGGGTTAGGGCTTAATAGAGGTGAACAGGCTCAAGAATATTTTCCAGTGGCCTGGATGCTGCTCACTTCAGCTTTATTATTTTCCATTGGTGACTCTATAGCAGGCAGAAGGATGAGTCTCTGATTTCTTCACAGCTTCGCAGAGATTGAGAGATTAGCAATGCCCAAAGCAGCAGCAGCTGTGTTTGTGGGCACTATTTTACTTATAGGTTGGAGAAACAAACAAGTGCCATGTGTACAGAGCCAATAGATGCCACTGGAACTTACCACAGATTGAAGCTCTATGAGAGTTAAAGAGAGGCCACAGCAATTCTGAATTCCCACTGGCTTAGTGCCTTCTCCACAAGGTCAATTGTCAGAGAATGGCCGTGACTTGTATTTTATACTTGTATATATCATAAGAACTTCATAGCCAAAGAGCACCTTTAAATAACTATTTTCCCTGATTTCTATAAAGAATATTTGTAAATTTGGAAAATTCAAAAAGTTGAAAGAAGAAAATTAATATCTCCTCAAATCTTCCCAAAAGAAAACCCCCGTAACATCATGAAACGAATAAATGGCAAATGTACTTGGTACAGTGCCTAGAAGGTAGTAAGTTCTTAATACATCATAGCTGAAATGTTCTATATATACATAATTTCTCTTTCTATTGTTTTCTTTTTTCCTATTTATATACATGAATTTGTTGCATAAGTAAATATTCAACATATGTGCACTGAGCACTAGAACTTTGAATGGGCTGGGGAGAGGGGACTCTACATTGGGGTGGACAATGATAGAGTCTTTTGCCCTTAAGTTAGTCACAATTCTAGAGGAAGAAATAGGTGGGTAATGGGCATTTCCGTTTGATGGGGAGGTGACCTGGTAAGTGCTATGTGGAGAGTAGCAGGGGCTCCCGAACCTCAGCCAAGGGCTTTCTGGAGAAACTGACATCCATTCTCAGACCTGAAGGATGAGTAGAAGCCATGCAGTTAATGGAGTAGAAATGAGAAAATGCTTCCTGCAGCAGAAACAGCACATATTAAGTTCCTGAAGCAAGAGAGAACATGGCACATTCATGAAACTAAACAGAATTCTATGAGGTTGAAGAGTATGCAGCTGGGAGTAGATAAAACAGTGGGAGGTTTGGAGGGTGGAGTAGGATGGAGGTGAGACTGGGGAGGAGTTAACAGACATAGCGAGCCATGGGGCTGGAGGAGTGAACAGGGCTGAGGCATGAAGGGCTTTGGAGGAAGCCCCGGGAGAGAGCTTCCAATTTATCCTGAGGGGAGTGAGGAACCACTGAAGTAAGAGACACGATTGGTGCTTTAAGAATCAATACATCAATAAGAACTGGGCTGCTAAATAATGAGTAAATGATTTAATTAAAAAATAAATAAAATGAAATAAGAAAGAAAATAATTGGGAAAAGATGGGCAAAAAGAGTCTACCTTAAAATTTTTAAACATTATTTTTTGGATAAAGAAGAAGTCAAAAAATTATAACATTTTAAAAATGAGTGACATGGAGATCACTGCATATTAGCCATGATGTGTGGCCAAAGTGGCATTCCATGCAAAATTTATAGCCATGAAAGTATGTACTAGAAACAAATAAAAACAGAAAGTGAGTTCTATAGGTTAAAAGTTCAACCTGGGTCTCACTGGGCTAAAATCAAGGTGTTGGCCAGGGTGCGTATCTTTCTGGAGTCTCTAAAGAAGAAAGCATTTCCTTACCTGCTCCAGTTTCTAGAGGTTGCTCACTGTGATGGTTAATTTTACGAGTCAACTTGATTGGGCCATGGGGTGCTCAGATTAAACACTATTTCTGGGTGTGTCGGTTTGGGTGAGAGTGTTTCTGGATGCAATTAGCATTTGAATTGGTGGACCCAATAAAGTAGATTGCCTTCCCCAAGTGGGCAGGCATTATCCAATCCACTGGAGGCTGCTTGCTTGAGCTGGGACATAGTCTCCTCCGGCCCCTGGACTGGAGTTTACACCTTCAGCTCTCCTGATTCTTGGGCCTTCAGACTTGGACTGGAAGTAACCATTTTGTGGGTCTCCAGCTTCTGGACAGCAGA